CTGAGGACTGTAGCCTCATTATTGATCATCAAAATGTATTTACCTGTCAGACCAGTAAAACCAGTAAAAGCAGTGGTCGCCACCCATTGTGTGAATGCCTCCCTTCTTTCACACCATCCACACACAGGGATTTTATTCTGAAATGACATACACCAGCAGCAGGAAGTGAAACTTCTCATTACCTGTGAAACCTTTCAAGAAAAAAGGCATTATACATGGATACTTTCAAAATAAAAGCCAACTTGCCAAGGTGCTGAATTGTTTTTGTCCAACAGGAAACTGGCCGAGCTGAGTGTCATGTTTCACCTCGACCACCTAGTGTTATTTTTGACAGCAGCTCAGTTTCAGGTGGTTTTCTGTTTTGATGGCATCTACTTTATTTTAATCAGTTTCCACTTCTTTTGGAGTGTTATGACATCTTTAAAAGGAAAAGGTTGTGAGGATTGGAGGTGCATTCAATCTCAGCTGTTTAAATCCACACTTCCTGTCACATGTCCTGATATCAGGTCAGCAGAATCCCTTCAGCTGGTCTCTGATCCCGGACCAGCAGGTTTCAAATAGTGCCAGGGCACATGCGCACGCAGCGACCTGCAGTGAAACGTCAAACAGTCAAACGTTGCTCATTCTTAAAGCTGCCTAACTCAAAACATTTCCTCTTCTGACCCGTTCTCTGCTCTTATCCAGGCTTTAGCTGTCTTGGCAGAAAGACAGGATGAGGTTTAAATACCCCTAGAGTTGTTAAGCCAGATAAAAAGGTTAAATGAAAGCTGTTTCAATGACTCCCATAACCAGCAATCGCTTTGGGCTTTTCCCAAAGCAATGTGCAATTACCTGCAAATGAGCCACTCCAAGACAGCCCTGTAGACCATCATCGCGATCGTTTGTTTCAACAAGGCGGCAATCCAGAGCAGAGTTCCGCCAGCAGCTCACCACAGCCCTCTATAGTTGTCAGAAATAAATTTAATAAGGTTGAAATTAGACAAATTTTGAATTTCCCGCCTCCAGACGATATACCCAATAATGCACAATATTATCAAGGCATAATGGGGAGTGCCTGTGAAATAACAAACAGGATTTTCTCCCATGAACGTATGACCGCATACTGTAGACAGCGTGGCTTTCATCTGTCTTTCATGGCAAAAAAAATTTTTCTGGCACAACTTCACCGGCTTCCAAGATGCATGGAGAGGATGAAAGAATTCACAAAGCAGGAACTCCAGCATCGCTTGAGGGAAGATGAACAACTTTAATAATTGACCAACGCGTTTTGGCTTGTGGCCTTCATCAGGGTCATAGTAAAATATTGTAAAAAATTGCTTAAATACAAGACAGGAAACAGAAAAAATTACAAATTAACCAGTCAAAACTTCATAGATAGGTCAGCTGACATATAATAGGTATTTGGTTAATTGGCTAAGTCACGCCCAAGTAAATACCGGACTAGATCATTACTGATGAGGAGGAGGGGGGGTAACATAACCCCCATATGTCTGAAAATAACACATGCATGAAATGCATAAGGAGGATGCTATAAATATACACACAAGTAAGAAAAGAAAATAAGAGAAGGAAAAAAAAAGGTCTTGAATGGTAAAAGCACGTTTGAATTAGAAAACAAGATTACATCATCACATGGGAACACATTTGTTAAAAGATCCTTATTTATGTCTCTAAAATGTAAAATATAGACTTAAAATGTGGACTTAAAGTGAGATGTCTAGAACGCTACTTCTTCTTTGGCTAAAAAAAAGAAAAAAGTTACGTGAATAAACATTACTCATTGATAGAAAAGTCCTTTCATGGAAAGATACTCGATCAGCATGCTTTTTCAAAAATGTTAGAATGCTTTTGGGGTAAAAGCATTCCGGTGGGAATCTGAATGAATCATAAAAACTGGCACCTCCATCTTCTTCTAATGAAATCGCCAGCCAATGAGTTCCAGGTTTATTCCTTGGATCTGTATTTATGATCATGATATGCAGGCCGTTTAAACAAACGTTTGAGTAAGATCACTAACTCATCTGACGCCGTAGAATCTGTCACTGACTAGCAGCCTCATGATACTCTCCAACTGATGATTGTTCATGACTCAAGAAAAAACAGAAACCTATCAGCAATAATCAACCGAAACTTGTCTTTTTGAATTGATCTTGAGAATTGAATCGTAACAAGCATAAACGATCAGCGTTGTTGTGTGAGGCAGCGGGACTCTGAAGCACATTTCAAGTCTCAAGTTGCCATTTATTATCAGTGATAACGCTTGGCTGTCATCTGAAGGACTCATATTGAACATGAACAGAGTATATCCTTCTTGAAATTCCTGTCTGTCAATGCACAAGGATAGATCTTTCAGGTTTCTCCCGGTAGCTGTGTACATGCCTATAACAAGATATCTGGGCAGTGAACCCAGAAACAGGTTCTCATGATGTGATATCTTGACTACGATGACCTGGATGACTGAGAACCTTCACAGACATAATGGGATTCACTTTAAAAAATCAGAAAATAGAGCAAGTGGAGTCATATAAATATCTTGGGACCATAATCAATGAAAAACTGAACTTTGATGAGAATTCCAAATTCCAAAGGGGTCACCGGCGCCTTTACTGCCTCAGAAAACTTGCTCATTTCCACATTGACTGGAAAATTTTAACTTTGTTTTACAGTTCTTTTATTGAGTCTGTTTTATCCTTACCTCAGCTTTATCAAACACAGCAAACAGAGCTCTTGTTCAGTTCAGTGTTTTGCTCCAGTCTGTTTTCATCCCTGTGAGCCCCTCAGAACAGTGAAATGATTAAAAGGCCTTTAGTGGCTCTGACTGATTAGACTCAGAGTTTAGATCTTTTTGGTGTTCCTGGGATTTTACTGACCATCAGCCTGGGTGTTTATTGTCTTATGTAGTCTGGAAGATGAGTGGATGGTGGGGTGGGTGCAGTTTTCTCTGTGGTGGGGTTGGGTGGACTGTCCCGGGCTCTGTGGGGCCGGGCGGCGCTGCTGCACTGGGCCCGGTCTGGATGGGCCTGGGCCCCCTTTCCCTGGCGGGTCGCGGAGTATGGGGGTGCCTACTGGGGTCAGCGGGGGAGCTGGCCCCAGGGAGGGGTCACTTGCCCCTCCCTTCCTTCCCTCCCCATCTCCAGCTGCCTCCCTCTTCCCGCTCCACCACAACCACCCACACATGCAGGGCCTTGGAGTAGGGGTATGTCACCAGGGTGCAGAGGAGGCTACCCCCCCCTCTGTCCCCTTCTGGCTGCCTCTGCCTCAATTTTATCCCACAACTTAGACATTCACATTACTCACACTCTCATTACACATACATATAGGATCTTGGGGGGTGGGCACGATACACGGAGTCCAAAGTACCATCAGGGTGTACACCCCACCCCTGGCATCGTTGCCCACCTCTCAATTTTAAATACACGTAGACATTGAGGGCTAGCAGGAGGGACCATGCGCTTACCTGCTGCTCTCTGGCAGGTAGCTCCATGCCCTCCTGGGTTTTAAATGCACCTTAGAACACACATGCATCAACACTACAATGAGCGGGTGGAGGGAGGTTTGGAGTCTTCTCTCACCCCCGTTCTCTGCGACCTGCTGGAGCGGGGGGGCTAGGAGGAGGAGTTGGCCGTCCGACTGCGGTCTGGAGTGTGGGGCCTCCTGCTGCTGCGGAGTCGGGGCGGTCTGCCTCCCCCCACCGCAGGGAAAAGGGTAACACCACCTGGGTCTGGGTGCAGTTCCCCCCTCCAGGGGCGGGGGCACCTAGACCCGGTTTGTAGAGTACGCTTGGGGAGTGTGATCGTGTGTACAACGTCTCTTTATGTCTGTCTCCACGTTGGTTGAGTGTGGAGTAAGTGCATATGAGAGCATGAGGGTGGGAATGGATGTTTGTATCTGTGTGTGCCTGTATGTCTGTGTCTATATGTCAGGTTGGGTGTCAGGCGCCACCTCTCTGGGGACATCTCAGGCCCTCCAAGGTTTGGAGGCCTATCTCCCCCTACCACCACTTCCCCTGCCAGTGGCGGACCCCCTCAGACATCGGTGCGTTGGTGGTTCTTTGTGTCCGGGGATGGGCGTCCAGGTACACACCGGCTCACTCCTTGGCGGCCGCTTATCGGGGCCTGGAGCCTGGGGCTCGCTCGGGCCACTTCGGAGGTGGGGTGCCCCCGGCCTCTCGGCCTGGGGCTCGGTCACTCAGGCGCAGCTGGCTGCCGGCGGAGCTCACGGGCGCGTCACTGCAACTCCCCCTGGCTTCTGCTCCGCGGCTGCTGAGTGAGCCCTCATCTGGGACTCTCCTCAGCTCTTTCCGGGACAGTGGCGCAGCTGCCCCTCTGTTGGTCTTCCTTGGTCTCTTGTGTTCTGGGGGCCTCTGGATGTCTGGAGTTTTGATCTCCTCCACACCTGCCTCACGCCCTGGAGGACGGGGCTGTGGCCCCCCCACACCCTCTAGCAGATTATTACATGAAGGAACCTTTTAAAAAAACAAAAAACAAGCGCGTCCATGCTCACAGGTGTACACACGGGTGATCACACCCACAAACTACACCCTTTTTGGCTCCTACCTCAAAGCACACTGTGTTCTGTTGATCTTATGTGCTGCACAATAATGTTTAATATTTAGTATTTACTGTCATATTCCCATATATCATTGTGATGTTGTTTATTCTATTACTCTTGTTCTCTTCTGCTTGTTTTCTTTTTTCTTTCTCAGCAGGTGATCCAGGTGATTGATATATGCATTTTTTTTTTCTGCCCGTTCTGTTGGTTTTTGTTTTTGCCCTTCTCCCCCGTCCCTCTTCTCAGCTGTTTCTCTTTCCCTCTTTCTTTCTCCCCTTCTTTCCCCCAGTCAAGTCTGTCCCGTATTCAGTAAGTGAAAATAAAATAAACAATAAAAGGTGAATCAAATGGACCATTACGGCAAGGCTGGGATGGTCAGTTTGGTAAAGTAAATCCGTTGGGTATCTTTCTTTGCCTTTAGACAACAATTCTGATGGCAAAAGAGCCAAACGGGACAGGCCAAAAAAAAAAAAAAAAAAAAATCAGAAAATAGAGCAAGTGGAGTCATATAAATATCTTGGGACCATAATCAATGAAAAACTGAACTTTGATGAGAATTCCAAATTCCAAAGGGGTCACCGGCGCCTTTACTGCCTCAGAAAACTTGCTCATTTCCACATTGACTGGAAAATTTTAACTTTGTTTTACAGTTCTTTTATTGAGTCTGTTTTATCCTTACCTCAGCTTTATCAAACACAGCAAACAGAGCTCTTGTTCAGTTCAGTGTTTTGCTCCAGTCTGTTTTCATCCCTGTGAGCCCCTCAGAACAGTGAAATGATTAAAAGGCCTTTAGTGGCTCTGACTGATTAGACTCAGAGTTTAGATCTTTTTGGTGTTCCTGGGATTTTACTGACCATCGTGAATTGAATTGAATTGAAAGCCTTTATTGTCATTATACACAGTATAACGAGATTAGAAAGAGCTCTATAAAAGTGCACACCTGCTTGTAGCACATTATAAAAACTATACAATAATTTAACTATATTTAGTGCAACTGGACGGAAGTCATTGAGACTGGTTATGGGTGACTTTTTAGAGATGGGGATGATTATGGTAGATTTCAGGCAGGGTGGAATGACGGCTTGTTCCAGAGACAGGTTGAAGATGTCAGTGAAGACCTGTGCTAGCTGCCCGGCACATGCTTTGAGGACCTTCCCAGGTACTCCATCTGGGCCTGCAGACTTCCTGGGGTTCGCTGCACAGAGTACACGCCTCACATCCTGTCTCTCAAGAGTGAGTGGGGAATTGCTAGAGGCTGGTGTGGGTTGTGGTGGTCTCTGACTTTTACTTCAGGTTCTGCTCGAGGCCTCTTCCTGCTGACGGGGAGTTTTGGCCTGGTTTTTACTGACTGACCTCCACTCTGTGGTTTTAAAGTGAGCATCTGCAGAGGAAACCATCACTGCCACAGCTGTAGGTCAGACTTCCTGTTTTTGTGATGAGCATTAATGATGAAAACCAAGACTCGTCATCACTCAGACTGGCTGCAATCTTGTTTCTCAGAGTTCAAACCCATCACGCTGCAGTGAGTTTGTTTTTTAAAAGCTCCTGTAAGAAAGTTTCACCTGAAGAGCTGCTCTCAGGTAAGAACAATTGCTTTACCTGCCGATCTGCTCGTGGCTGAACATGATTCAGAGGGTCTGTGATGGCTTAGTTTGATTTTGAAAGATTTATTTGTTCTGTTTCTGCTGCTGTCAAGAGAGCACTCTGAGATTAAATCTGTTAAGTTAAAGATTTTCATGCTGTTAGGGCTGAGCAGACACAGAGCCTCGACCTCAGCAACAACATTCCTGCACCCATAGCATCATTTCATCATTATCATTATTATTTAATTTTCTTTAGCAGGAGAATGAACAGAGGTATGCACGTGTAGCTGTGACTTCATCAGCTGTGATCTTTTCTTCTTTTATCAAAGTAATAAGCGTGCTGCTTTAAGCAGAAATCCTTTCAGACACCCTGAAGCTGAATTCGCTGCTTCGGCCATATCCAACACGTTCTATCAGATCAGACGGAGCTCCGGCTCCACCTCAGCAGCTTCACTTAACCTCGCTCTCCTTTCTGTTTGTGTTTATTGTTTATGTTCGAGTGACTTTGATTATTGACGAT